TATATATAGGTGATTATAGCGCTCGGCACCCTAGTTTAGGTGCCGCTTCAATACTGTCAGCTGTAGCGGTACACGGAATATTAAGTTCATGCGCCACAGCCACCTAACTCACTGGGATATAGGAGGTGACACGCATTCTCGAGAATTGACTACATACTTACCTACGGACTTGTGGCATCTCAGCCCAGGTGCTCATCAGCCCCTGCCCTTTTCTTGCATCACCTTGTCGTCAGCCTTCAGTACTCGACCCCTACCGTGCTTTTCTCTGCCTAGCAACGTACCCGCATCAGTATTCCCCCTGAGTACAGGCCTAGCTATATCTCCTACATGTTTGTTTTCTTCTTCAATTTCGATTACTCTTCTGAGATGCTATACTCCTTTCTTATCTATTTAAAGCACATTTTTTTATAACCACTATGTTCGCAGACCAAATATTAAGCGCAGAAGGCAGAATAGGACAGCCTTGCCTATATCCTTTGCACCCTGCTTCTCTAAAGTGCTGGAGCATACCCTCCTGAATCGCCTGATGCATCTGCTTCAGGACAATAGAGGATGGGTTGGATGCCGTCTGCCGGACTTGTCAAGATCTACTCCCTGTGGACTACATAGACCTGTTAGCCTACTTCTACACATTAGAAGGAATGGAATAGTTATTTGTGACTCGCAGTATGCCCTTCTTCTACCCCAAGCCTCAAGTCTGTAATTTAGTCAATCACAAACTGCGCCATCCTGCCAGAGCCCGTGGCCATGCACTTTGGATACATTTCCTACGGATTCCCAAGCATGTCCGAGAAACAACGAATGACATGGAGGACCGTCTTGCCAAGGATGCTTTTGGGCCAACTATCCACCATAGGAACGACGTGGCCTTTACTTCCCCCGAGTGTCCGACAGTAGCTGAGCTATTACTTAGCAGATACTCTGCCACAGACATTTGCAAATTACTTGATAATAAATGACAATTTAGATATAATATTTTTGCAGTATCTTTCCCTGAATATCTACTGCACGTAATTTATCTTCTTTTTATCTTTTCTTCTGTATTGGATACATCGCGTGTCCTGCGTGTCACGAATAATAAGCCAACATTTACTTTATACTGTATAGGTTAGTCACTCTCCCCAAGCGAAAAAAAAAATGAAAACAAATCTTTCTTTCTTTTTTTCTTTTCGCCTAGCCTTCTATATATCTTTCATTCCTTCTTTCTTCTTTCTTTTTCACCTCTGTCTTCGTCTTCATTTCGTCTTTTCATTTCTGTGACTTTTTCTTCTGTTTCTTAAGCTTCGTCTTCTTCTTCTTCTAGCACGTGTCACAAGACTGTTACCTGAAACACATATTTTGATAGCAAAGCCTTCAAAACTAACAATATATATATTAGTTTCCCAATAAAACAGGAGATGCATATCTTCTTATTCGAGCAACATAGAAAATGTAAATACTCGTTTAAAGCCGTGTCTTTAGAATAATTGTGTCTTACGAACCGATGAAATTGCTTGTATTTCGTTTAAAATACGGATTTTTTCGTAATCAGTTATCCATCACTATTCATTATAATTAATCATACATTAGTAATGAACAAACAATGATAGATTTTCTGTCCAAAAGGGTATCAAAGGAAAATGTATTATAGTTTTCTTATCCATTACCTCTATCAAGATTTTAATGTTTGAACCTTACTGTATATCATTTTAAGTCACACACATGCACACACACACACGTATCTCTCTATCCACCTCTATATCGATTTATTCTCTCTCTCTCTCTCTCTCTCTCTCTCTCTCTCTCTCTCTCTCTCTCTCTCTCTCTCTCTCTCTCTCTCTCTCTCTCTCCCTCTGTCCCTCTCTCTCTCTCTCTCTCTCTCTCTCTCCCCCTCTCTCTCTCTCCTCTCTCTCTCTCTCTCTCTCTCTCTCTCTCTCTCTCTCTCTCTCTCTCTCTCTCTCTCTCTCTCTCTCTCTCTCTCCCTCTGTACCCCTCTGTACCCCTCTCTCTCTCTCCCTCTCTCCCTCTCTCCCCCTTTTCTCCTCTCTCTCTCTCTCTCTCTCTCTCTCTCTCTCTCTCTCTCTCTCTCTCTCTCTCTCTCTCTCTCTCTCTCTCTCTCTCTCTCTCTATCCCCCTCTATAATTATATGATGAAGATTGATGCGCAGTAGCGATACACCATTTGCGGCTTCACCTTTATTTAAGAACACACGAGTGTAGAAGAACACGATATAACTGGCGGTGTTGAGTGGAACCCTACGGCCTGGCCCCGGGAGAGTGCAGCCCCCGTGGAGGGAGTGAGCAGATTAGGTCGGTGCATAGCGAGCAAGTGCGACCTGCCCTAGCGAGCTGGGTCAAGCTCCGCTGACCTCTTATAGGCCTGGTAGGCGCCCAAGGCAGGCATAGCGTGGCGTGGGTACGCACGAGGAAGGAAAACCACGCCGGCCTACCCACGTGCCATGTAGTGCCCACGCCGGCCAAATCCACATGTCATATAGTATACTATACTATACTCACTCTCACTCTCACTCTCTCTCTCTCTCTCTCTCTCTCTCTCTCTCTCTCTCTCTCTCTCTCTCTCTCTCTCTCTCTCTCTCTCTCTCTCTCTCTCTCTCTCTCTCTCTCTCTCTCTCTCTCTCTCTCTCTCTCTCTCTCTCTCTCTCTCTCTCTCTCTCTCTCTCTTCTCTCTCTCTCTCTCTCTCTCTCTCTCTCTCTATCTATCTATCTATCTATCTATCTATCTATCCATCTCTCTCATTATATTATGTTATGATATTATTTCAAGAATAACAAATAATCCCGTAGACCTTAAAAGCCCACATACATGATATCGCAGACATGCAAACAAAATAAATTTGAATAATAAGAAATATTTGACAGGGAAGCACTACAAAAATGTCTTTATTGGATAGATAGATAGCACTGACTAGCATTAATACCATTATCATGGCTGTCATACTTATTATCATTATTACAATTATTATCATTATTTTTAATAACGATTTTATTTTCTTTAAAATACGGCCATGATTATTATCATTCTTATGATAATCATTATTACCATTACTATTATGATTATTATTATTATTATCATTATTATTATTATTATCGTTATTATTGTTGTTGTTATTATACTTGTTATGATTATTATCATTATTATCATTATTGTTATTATTACTATTATTACTATTTTAATTATTATCATTATTGTTATTACCATTTATATTCTTCCTATAAGATCATCCTCATCGTAGTTGTTATTATCATTATAATTATTAATTTTTATCATTGTTATTATTGTTATCATTATCATTATTAGACTCCCATAATCATTATCACTGTATTTCTTATTGTTTCTATTATTATAATCATTATCATTGTTATTATCATAATCATTACTATTATGATTATCATTATTGTTACTGCTAATATCATTAGTGTTACTGTTATTATCATTATTACTATCATTATCATTAGCATAATCATTCTCATCATTTTAACTATTATCATCATTATCTTTGCTGTTAGTATCCGTATTATTATTATCATTATAATTCTTGTTATTATCATTATTATGTACTATTATCATTAGTATTGCTATTGCTATTATTATCTTTGCTATTACCATCATTACCATTATAATTATCATCATTATCTTTGTTATCATTATCATCATTATTTTTATCATTATTATTATTGTTATTGTTGTTCTTGTTCTAATTTTTGTTATCATCATGATTATGATCATCGCTACTGTTATTGTCATTATTATCAATTATTATTAGTAGTAGTAGTATAAGTATTATTGTTATTAATGTTATTATTATCTTTATTATTATCATTATCATACTTATCATAATTGTGTTATTATTATCATTACTTTGATTATTGTTATTATTATTACCATTGTTATTATTATCATTACTTTAATTATTGTTATTATTACCATTGTTATTATCATCATCTTCATTATTACTACTGATATCATTATCATTATTAGTATTGATAGCACTATCACTATTACTATTACCACTATTATTATCATAACTGTCATTTTTATCATCACTATTATGATTTCCATCGTTATTATCATTATTATCATTATCAATATTATCATTATTATCATTACCATTATTATCATTATCAGTTATTTTTATCATTATCATTACCATTATTATTATAATTGTCATTATTATTATCATAATTACTATCATTATATTATATTGTTATCATTATCATTATTATTATTATCGTTATCATTAACATTATTTTTTTAATTTATTATCATTGTCATTACTGTCATTATCGACATCATTGTTATTATCATTATAATTACCAATATAATTGCTATTAATATCATTAGTGTTAGAAATATCACAATTGTAATTGCAATCATTGTCACCACTATCATCACTTTTATTGTTATCATAATCCTTATTATCATCATTATCTTTGTTGTGACCGTTGTCATTAATTTATTGTTATTATTACTCCTATTATCACCATCATCATAAATATTATTTTTACCAGTTGCTTTTGTTCTTATTGTTTATTTTTGTTAGTTGTTGCTATTTTCAGTATCATTGATAATCATCAGTACAGTCATCCTTATCACTGATGATGATTATAATTCTAAGATTTAGCTTGAACGAGCTATATTATGAATCGTTATTAATGACGCAGTTGGTCTCCATCTTTGCAAATTCACGTTGTATCAATATTTGCACAACCGCATAAAATGCATGTGAGAATTAACCGTATGTTGCATGATTTACCAGTTCCATACAGATGTGTTTTGGTTGCTCTGCGAACGTGTTACGTATGAATCCTGTCTTGAACGCAGCGATTTCAGGGTCAATGCCATACTCCGCCAACGATTTTATTTCATCACTGAATATATGATAAACATTTCTCGAAAGTTATATTAATTAGATCTTTACGGTTTCTGAGAATATGTTCAACAGGTTAGAGAATAATTTGAAATAGAACTGAGAGTCTAAATGTGGCACCGTTGTCAAAGTAGTTGCCATGTCGCCAGTTTCCGTCAGTTGCGAACTTGCCATGTGTTGTGATACGTGTCCTTTGACGTCCTAGGCTTGTGCTTGCCTTTGGGGCTCACAAACAGTGGCAGTGAAATAAAACTTTAAAAACTGCAACAGGTAAGCAACTTCTTATAGGAATCGGTAGATGAGGAAAATAGTAGGAGGGCAGTAGATGGTAGTAGAAGTGTAGTAGAAATAGCATGGGCGTAAGTTTTCTTTTCCAAAACATACTTATTTGCATAGTAACGTTAAACACGGATGGTTAATTAATAAATTATATGTTTAACTGTGTTCAGTCTGTATGCATATGCCTCAGTAGTTTTTAAGAAATGAGTTCAATGTCAACCATATACCGTTACGTTTGCAGTCGTCATCTATATAGTTCAATGAGAAGTTATTCGAGCACAGTGTTGATGTACATTAATATCAAGAACAAATTATTTTCAGTTTACTGTACGTACCTATGAAGAGAATGCGTGAAAAATGAAGGCAGTGAGAAATTAGCGTTTTCAGTAGTTTCCCCTTAATTAGTATACGTTTTCTTTGATAACTCCAAATTCTCAAGTTGTTAGTCATACCTGTACGTAGACTAGACACATGATAGCATTATCAGTATAAGACTGAATTATATGATTTAACAAAATCGTTAGGGCATTATTACCTTATTTACAGTTTTCATCTTATTTCTTATTTTCTTCACACATTCACCTTTTTGCTTCATCATTATCTTCATCTACTGCTATTAATACTTCTGATTCAAGTCTTACTTGTAATACTACCAGTAATGTTATTCCGGTTTTTGCTCAATACATCTACTAGTACCATTGCTACAGATGGCGATAATCGATGATACTTTAAGAGAAAGCGAAGTGGCCTACAATCTTCTGTTTATAGTCATACCAACGCAGCATTTATTACATAACAGAGAATATGCATAATGCATTACATGAAACTCCGCGTTGCAATGACTCACTGGGATGCGTTCTTGTGCGATTCTCGGCGACCGCTTGGCTCTTGCACCGAGAGAATTAGTCTATTACGGCTTGATTATCTAGTTCCTCATAGGCACAGTAGAGCAAATCGGAGAAGCGAGAACTGGAGGCAACTTAACCCATCTGAACTGTTCGACTGTTGTTTTTTTCTAGAAAGATTAAGACTGATTGCCCATTCCCCCTCTTTTATGTACTGGTAATGTTAAGTTATTATTATAGCCGCTATTACTACTCCATTACCGATTACCGTTACTACCATTAGGTAAATGTTTTCGTGCGATAATTGTGATTACATAAATAAAATTAGCCCTTTTTGATAATTCCCCAAGGGCGTCGCCCAACATCCGAGATACGTGGAAAGGACACGATTGTAAAGTTGTGCTTCGGATGTCAACTGGCCATATTGCCCCCTCGTAGCCATGCTAGAGCCTCCATTTATTTCTTATTTTTTTTATCTAGAACATGCTTGTTACATTAGACTATTGCTACCAAGACTACTGTTACTGTTGTTATTACTGCTGCTACTACTGCAATTGATAATGATAACAACAAAAACACGACTGCAGTTCGTTCGCGGGAACTTTATATGTATATGTATATATATATATATACATATACATATAAGTGCATATATGTATATATATATATATATATATGTATATATATATATATATATATATATATACACACACACTCACTGAGAGAGATGGGGGTAAGGGGAATACACACAGACATCCTTTTATCATCTTTAAAATTTTCCTTGAAATTTCTTGTTAATTGCAACAAATGCAGAAAAGAAACGATTACATCAATGACCTGTAATTAGCATTAGCAAGTAATTAGCATTATTGATCATATTCAAATATAAGTTTTACTCGTGTTGCTTATAGTCGTGTTATAATGACGGTTGCAATAATACCTATGTTTTAAAATCATAAGCATTAGTTTTCACTTCGTTACTAGTAATATCCAATCCTACCAGTAAAATATAATTAGTTATTTAGATACTACGAAAAAGTTCGGCTGTAGGAGGTCATGTAATTGTATTTTCACTATTTGTGATTAAAGTACAAATACTGAAAACTTATATTTTCGTTTTTTGCTTAAATGAAAGACAGGCAGCATACGGCGTAGTAATATGATGTGTGTTGCCAAAACAAGATGCGTTGTGCCACTCACTGCTCTCTCTCTCTCTCTCTCTCTCTCTCTCTCTCTCTCTCTCTCTCTCTCTCTCTCTCTCTCTCTCTCTCTCTCTCTCTCTCTCTCTCTCTCTCCTCTCCCTCCCTCCTCTCCTCCCTCCCTCCCTCCCTTCCCTCTCCCACTCCCTCCCCCCTCTCTCTCTCTCTCCCCTATACCTCTCTCTATATGTGTGTGTGTGTTTGTTTTTGTACGTAGTACATAAATACATATATAAATACAACGTTTCAGTAATTGTAAAATATGTGACCAGAATCCCCATCCTACAAAGGGATTAAAACGCTTCTTGATTAATATGTAAACACACCTAATGGCGCATATTTTGATATATTGTGAACACATAGGGATATTGCTATTCTAAGATGATATTGTCGTATATGTTAGTGACAAACTTTATTACTGAATGTTCAGTCGCTCAGTTCTTATAAATGCCCCCTAGTATTCTGTCTGGGATTATTATTGTGGTAAAATTTAAGGGATTATTAGGGTATTCGTATTTAAGAGATTTTGCCTCCGTTGGCAGTATTATTATTTTTCAGATGTACTTGTATTCGGTTATCTCAAGGTTATGTCATGTGTGTTTGCGTATGTTGTAGAGAAAAAAAATGTTCGTGATTAAAGATTGTGTTCAGTATACTGCCATTCCGTCAATTAGCCCCAATTATTTTGTCAGTTTCAGCGTACCTCAGACTTTGCTCGAGAACAAGTTCGCAGTGAAGGATGGCCCTCTACCCGAGCTTGCCCGAGGACTCCCCAACACCTAATTATGCCAAGCTTGCAGAGAACCCACACTCTCTCCTTCCTGTGAGTAACATCATCCTTCCCTCGACAACCTCCCCCCTACTACTAACCCCTCCTTTCCTTCACCCTTTTTAAAGTCTGTATAAGTAGTATAGATTTTGAAAATCAGTATTTCACCTGTCTGTATATGTAGATTTATGCTGATTAAAAACTCTATTGACAGGACAAAGAAACGATGAGATGATAAATATATATATATATATATATATATATATATATATATATATATATATATATATATATATATATATATATATATATATGTTCGATTGCTGGTAATATGTCCATTATTGTTATCTCTAGCTTTAAGATGTTTAATGATAACAATATTCCTCTATCTGTCATGTTTCGCTTCCATTCAGTAGCAACGTTTTCCTTTCCAACCCGAAGGCGTGCTCGGTGTGCCTGGATGAGTTCTGTGAGAAGCGCCCCCCGAAGTACCTGTCCTGCCATCATACCTTCTGTGAGGAGTGCATTCATCAGCTGCTGCGCGGGGGCAAGGTGGAGTGCCCTCTGTGTCGCAAGGTGACGAGGACGACGTCTACCAACGCGTTGCAGACTAACAATGATGTACTGACGATGGTCAAATACGGGGATATTGTCAGTAGGTATGTTTGTGCGTGTGTGAATTAATGGTGTGTTTGTGATATGTTCATATGTACTTATTATGTGTGATTGTGTAAAATGAATTTAATTCTTGTCCCTATTTGATACAAGTGTAAAAGAAAGAATCCCGGAAAGAATAAGCAGTGTATACAGAAAGATATATACCCTCAGCCTATGGTGCCACGACTGCCAGAGTGCCCCCAAGCCCAGCTGTGCAACACATCGCGTCGACAACCGCTCACCGGCTTCTGCGGTGACGATAGGACAGCAGGTACCCATTTCACTTCAAAATATGGATTATATTTTTGAACTGTTATTTGATTATTAAGGCAGATCTCGCATATTGTTGAACCGATTGTCATTTATTGTAGAATGAGTGTATTTCACAATGAGAAAGACTGAATTTCACAATAAAAGAATACGTTTCTTTGTATTAGCTGGACAGCACGCTAGAGTCGTGGAAGCCGACCTTCACGCGCGTGGTGGAGACCGCGCACGGCTGGTCCGTGGTGGCGATCGACGCCACGTACTCCACCGCCGTGTCCATCAGTGACGTGATGACCCCGCTCGTGACCTACGTCATTGACCGGATCAGCTGCTTCATCAATTCGTGATCCAGTAGAGTTTGATTTATCTTATATTTATGTGTGTGTTTACACCCAATGTAGCTAATGTATTATGTACTCTGGATGTGTTATCTATGTTTACTCTCGTATTTTCTCTAAATGTCTTAGTTAAGTATTAATCGTAACTACTTTTCAGCTTCTAAAGCTGAGGATGTCATATTTAGTCTTTCGTAAATGAAGGTATAGCTAGTGTACGCTATGTCACAACATTAGGCACTGAAGTTACTGCATTCTATATGTAATACAAAAGAATCCTGTAAATAAAGAAAAACATATATTTTCCCTCTCTGTAGTGTCTGTTCATAATCAACCTCCCAAATCATCTACTCGTATTCAAGAAGAATTTTCACCTTTGCTTGTTCCCTCATCGGCTAATGAAACATGCACTTAGTCGTACAGATCAGAAATGGTGACTGATATCGAACACGCCATCCGGAAATACGACAGCTCTAAGTCTGATTATCCCCTTATTGTATACAGCAAGACCTTACATTAATTAGCTGAGGAGACATTTACCTCCTGGGGCCCCCTCCCTAATGTTAGCAAATATGGCTCCCCATTTTTATCATTATTATGTTCATTATTTATAGATTTCATTCTCATTTATATATATATATATATATATATATATATATATATATATATATATATATATATATATATATATATATATATATATATATATATATATAATATATATATATATATAGTCTCAAGAAGACCGTAACAATGTCACAATCATACACCGTTCACACTTT